GATACTGAGTCAGGAGCTTGCCTTCTACATTTAATATGAATGCACCTTCAAGGGAGATAATGAAGGGACAAAGTCTCTCATCCTTGGATCAGTAGCTGGGGTAATTCATTGCACTTTGTTTTCTACCTGTCCACAAGAAGAATAGTCCTAAGCATGAGTTGGGCCTAAATTATCTACTTCATTTCCCGTACTGATCGCTGACCTTGCTGTTGAAAATATGATAATTATTGAGACTCACTAACCATAGCAAGAGAAAGCTACAAATAGGACTTGGTAATAATTCCTTTCCAGAATTTACACACTTTCAATTCATTTATCAAAGCATTTGCAAGTTCCATTTCAAAGTCATGGAAATAATAACTAATATGGAGTGAAAATAATGATATATATTTAATCAAAAGTTAGAAAATGCAGCGAATAGCCACGGGCAATGACAATCTGACTGCACTAGAACAAACAATTCACAAAACAAAGTTCCCACCCCAGAGATTCTATATTCCCAAATGAAAATTGAAGCAATCAAAAATGGGTCAGTGAATAGTGCATTATTTAATTACTTTCAAGAGTTTTTAAGTAAAATCCTGTATCATGTGACTGTATCTATACATTATTTAATGGCCAGAACGTGCAGTCAGGTGATTAAGTAAAGAAATCTACTCTTAACCTCAAACCATTAACAGCTGGTTGAGCTGAACATGTGAAACTGAATTGGAGGAACTGAATTGTAAGGGCTGGTTGTGCTTCAGTGAGTTGAACACAAATCCCTCTCTGCAGTTATTAACTCAGATAAGTCAGTTCACTCTGGCTGCATTTCTGTCATTTCTTCTCCTTCACATATGTGCTCTATCTACTGCATTTTAGGCACATCTAACTCAAGTATTAAACTTGAAAATACAAGTAGTCAGACAGACAAAAAACAGTTGATCTTTGTAAATGAACTATTCTGCCTAGCCATAGATTTTGTAAAAACTAATCAGCAGCATGTTATAATATGGTACAGGATCTTCAGTAAATTATACATATGACAAGTATGGCTCGTCTAGCTGGAGAGAATGCTCACCAGAACTATCCTAAATGCATCACCACGGTATTTGCCCATGTGTATCACCTCAACAGGAATTGAGACCATGATGAGAAGTCTGAGCAAACAGCAGAAACAAGCAGTAAGTCTCACTGAAGCAGCAGAAAATGCTACTGATGAGAGAAAATAAATGATTTTCTGTCTTGCCGGCAGCCAGCTACTCCTGACAGAAATCCTGGTGTAACCAAAGCTTTTTTAAATTGGCTATATAGAGAGAAAGATACTTCCCAGATTCTCTGACAACAATCTGCGTGGAAGGAATGACTGCAATTGGTATAAGATTTTTCCTGTACAATAAAACATTAATTTGAGCAGAAGTTAACATTCAAATCACTGCAATAATTTTTGCAAGCTAGGTATGAGAGTGCATGAGAGTGACCAGCACCACTAGGAAGAGCAGACCTTAGCTATGTTTGGCCACACATTCTGTGCGCCAGGAGAAATACCTTTTTTAGCTATTGTTCTGCTCCTGCTCCTGCTCCTCCTCTGTGTTCAATGCTTTGATTTCCTAATTGAGTTAGGAAGGCCACATCTGCCAGCTAAGACGCGATTTTTCATCTTTGAAAGTGCCATCTACTCCTTTTTAATACTATCTTGAACTATTCTTGCTATCAGTGAAAGAAAAAAAAGGTGTTTTTTTTTTTTTTTGCCAAGTGTGGAAGCAAAGCTGAGAGTTTCAGGAAAAGATAGAAAGAGAATGAAAGAAAAAGAAAGCAAGCAAGAAACTACGTGTCTGTATTTGTACCAGTTATTTGCGCTATTCTCACCTAAAAGAAGAGAAAAATAAATGGAAGAAATGTCTGGTTTAATCTAGGCTCCCCACTTACATCATAGCAAGGTTAATCAAAAGATCTCAGTAGGGACTCCCTTCACAGTCTGCTTCTGTTACCATTTTAGGGTTACTCTGCAGGAGCTTTGCTGTGTTTTTCATCTCTTCTCAGAAGCAGCAGTTTTCTTCTATCACTGTATACAGTACCACTTAATAGATTGAGGATGTAAGGAATTTCCTGGCATGTAAACAGAATAATATAGTGAAGATAATAGATTTTGACTTTTAATACATTTCCACTAAACTTTCTGCCTCTCAGTTCTTACAGCATTTTTATTTTACTCACAGTTTACTGTCTGATAATTCCCAATGGACTCCTTTCCCATTTCTTATCTGCTTTATCTTTTACTTTTCTTTTGACCCTTCACTTCCCTTTGACTCTTTTGCCTTTCTCTTGTATGCCATCATTTTCTTCTGCTTCTAATTCCTTTCATTCCACTCTCCTGCATTAGTTTTTGCCTCCATTTCTTTCTTCATGTTGTCCTCTTCCTTGCCCTCACATCCTTCATTTTCTAGAAAGTTGCCACACTGGCAAGAATTACTGTGGAAAGACTGGAGATATGCATCCTTTGGGGAAAGAGGAATTTATCAGCAATCAGGCCTATGTACAAAAGCCAGTTTCTGTTTCAGAAAAAGCTAAAGCACCTGGAGAGAATTATTTGAAGACTGCAGCTTGAAGTCAGCTTAGCAGTCAAGGTGACAGGCTCCTCTTTGGCTATGTTGTAGGCTGGCTCTGTGACCTTCAGTAAATTACCTAGCCTTCATGTGCCAGGATGAGCAATTTATCTACCTGTTAAAATTACCACAACAATATTTCTGTCTTAGGAGTGCTGCAAAGTTTAATTAAGCTTGGTAAGCATTCAAACATTCCTCATTTAGTATAATTATCATCATTATGTATTAACCTACAATTACATTTTTTGAGGCAGTAAGTGCTTTAACTACTCCCTTTCAGTCTTAAACATGACAGCATACTTCTACTACATTTAGCCAATAATTAAATTGTTTTGGAATATGTATTAATTATGGCTGGAATTACAGTGATTGGCTGAAATCCTTAAAGGCTCTCCTACCACAAAAGCCCTGAGCAAATACGCAGCTGCTGAACCCACCCAGCTCAGCTCAGAGCAGAGGAGCTGAGGGGAGACCTGATGGCGGCTGTAGCTCCCCGCAGGGAGCAGAGGGGCAGCGCTGAGCTCTGCTCCGTGTGACAGCGGCAGGCGGGTGGCGGTCAGGGACAGGGGCTGCAGCGGAGGGCGGCGGGCACGGAACGGGCTGCACGGGGCAGCGGGCATAGCATCAAGCCTGGCAGAGTTCTTGATTGTTTGCTGACAATGAGCTCGGTGACTCCTTGTGAACAAGGCTGTCCTTTGGCAAACTTCGCTCATTAAAACACTCCAAAATATCTTCGTGTGTCAGCATCCGTGGCCTATCACCACACCTCCATCTTGTGCTCGCTGGAGGATGCACAAAGGATGAGGTTCATCCCAAAAGAAAGATGTCAGAGCTGGAGCTACCAGGTCTGGCTGGGCAGCTCCTTTGTGAGTTAAATGCATTCTTTGACTTTGTGGGAGAGTCAGGGGAGTAGAAGTGCTTTGGCTTTGGGCTTGCTATCAGCTCTCTGCCTTGTATAAGCACCTATTTGACGTAATTCAGTTATATAAATCAGAGAGCTTTGCACAAGGATTTTGCACAAATGAAATCCAAGTAATTCATTTTATCAGAAGTGGATAAGCCTCTTTTGATTTCTTCTCACTAAAAATATAAGCTAACATTTTGTTCATAACTCTGAACCACTCCCTTCAAGATATTTCCAAGTTACTTTTTCCCTCAAAGACATGGATAAGATCTCATTTCTGAGGCTCTCAGCTGACATGGCTTTCATATGAATTCCTCCCCCCTGACAAGGGAAGCTAAAACCTACTTCTCCCATGCATCTCAAAGTGAAACTCAGTACCTTTTTGTCTGACTGTTTATCATTTCTTGCAAATACTCAAATCCATTTCCTTTGGAAAAGGTTTGTCTTTGTATGACAGGCATACAAATAGGTTTTATTATAGTACTCTATTCATCGGTGCAGCTTAGCCTGGAGATAAAAAGGAATTCATTTTCTAGATTTTCCCTGAACGACAGCTCTGCATTATCAGAGTTCTTAACTCAAGAATAATAGGAAAAAAAAAAAAAAAAAAGAAAGAAAAAAAAAAAAAAAAGGAAAAAAAGAAATAGGAACTGATATATTGTATCTGACTTCGTGGTAGTGACCCGAGCTTCTCCCCAGTGAATTGAATCAAAGTAGCATCAAGAGTGCAAGATTGGGCAGAAAAGTACCAAGTTATCTGAATTTCAGTAATGGTAAGACAGCACAATCTTTTCAATACTAATGGTGAACTCTGCTCAGTTACCCATGATGTTGTATATAACATTAAGGTCAGAAGAACTGTATTTTCTTTTCCTTTTTTTTTTCCTTGACAGTCTTTGACATGTATAACTAGGTTTCTTTCCTTAAAAAAAAAATAAATAAAAAATGGAAAACAAAAAACCCATACTGTTCTACTAAGCCCCTTCTGACCTGGTAAAGGTAAGCAGCCTATTACGATTGTGAAGAATCAGTGGATAATGATCTCTCAATTTTTTGTCTTGCCTATTTTTTTTTTTTTTCTGAAACTTAAAGGAAACCACTTCAGGAGTCTCTCTGGGCACGCTGTTTGCTGTAACTACTCTTGCCACCTTGGCCATTTCCTGTCAATGTGTAAGTTGGTTTTGTAGAGCTATTACATAATGCTGTACAACCAGTGCCAGAGGGTCAAAAGTACATATGAACATAACTCTTACTTCATGCAGAGCATAGAAGAGGGTCCTCTGATCCCAGCTGATGACTGCTTTTACCTGTAGTAGCTGCTATGGCTCATCACGTCTACCAGTGGGTATTCCTACCACATGAAACTTGTGTCCACTTTCAAAATTCCTACTTGAAGCAGACTGTCCATGGCTCAAAACAATTCTGCAAGTTGTGCTGACTGGTATGTATTCCAATGGTATAATTTTTGGCATAAAGAGAGATTTAAATGTGCCAGTGACTGCAAGGGTTGTGCTGATTAGAAGAAAAGACAGAGGATGGACTGAAAACTTCACATGTTCTACCAAAGTCAGTGTAAATATATTTAGGAACAGAGTAGCAAAAATGAATTAAAAAAAACTACCTACAGAAGATTCACATGGCCTGCCTCCATTACACTTCTCGTTTTCAAGAGCTGAGCTGCTGAAATAAGGAGACTCCTGTTAATAGACATTACGTAGTCCATGGCTCAGACTGGATCTTTCCTCCAGGGCTTCCTGCATGGTTATGCAGACTAGACAGGTCACACAATTCTGAAAAGGAAGGCTGTATCTTGTCTTATGCAACCACTATGTGCTTACTTTGGCTCCAACCATCCTGCTCTTGAGCACCTCCAGGGATGGAGCATCCACAACTTCTTTGGTCAACATGCTCCCTATAGAGCAAACAATAGCAGGACAGTAGTATCTAAACTCCAGTTATGATGTGCAGGCACAGTATGTGGATGTTCAAAGTCCCCCATTTTCCAGGTTGGTCCCATTACTATTGCTAACATCTGTGTTAGAGGCAATAACGTGGTCTGATTTTATAATGTATTTCCTTAAGTCAATCAGTAGAGCCTTTTTAACTCAATCTAAGTAAAAAGCTGAGTACAAATCAAATAGAATGATTTTAGTGTGGTTTTTTGTTTGTTTGTTTGTTTTTTAACTGGAGTTTCTCTGTTTTCAAGTTTAGCAAGTCAGGAGATATTTTATCGAATGTCCTGTGTAAAGTGCTTCATAGAGAGCGTTTCTTCTTTAACCATATGTATGGTTAGGTCATGGCCTGAACCAGTGATTGAGCTCCTGGTGAAAGGGCATAGTCAGGCCTGGGAGCACAAGTGGAAGCAATTCACCTGTCTGAGCAGAAGGGGGGGAGCCTGGATCCGCCCCTCCATAACATTATTTAAGGGCTGGCAGCCACAAGGGAAGCATCTCTACTTAGAGGCTGCTTCCTTTGGAGTGTTTGGTGAGTCCTGATGCTTGGAAAAGGGTAAATGGTTCCTTCTATATTACTGGATTGTGATCCTTACCTTTCTTGGGTGATCTGAAACTGGTTTAAAGCAGCTATACCTGCTGCACGTATGCCTACACTGTACCATTAGAGCAGGAGTAATTTTGCTTTTCTTACGAGGAAGTAAGGGTAATTTGTATACTTTTTAAAATGCGTGTCCTTTAGTATCTATTTCCTTTAAGACTTGAGCAGAAATTAGGAAGAACTGATCTCAGGTGCCCATTGGTCTTTGTGGAAGCCCATTTCACAGAGGTTCTTTAAGGTCTCCTGTTCCCCCAACACCCTGATGATGTAGTCGCCCTGGAAAGAGGATAAGCAGTGCTTCCAAATGATTAGGCAGACATTACTGAGCTGGCTGCAGGAAATAATGCTTCTCAGGGCAGCCTTTTGAGTTTCTTTCTTTCCTTTTTTATTTTATTTTTATTTTATTTTATTTTTTTTTTCCTTCAATAAACATTACTATTTCAGTCAGGAAATATGGTAACACTCTGGCAGAACACTTCCAAGCAAGTCAGTGTATATATGTATGCAGATAAAGGTGGAAGAGAAAGAGGTTTTAAACATATCTTCTGTCACTTTCTCTCTTCTCATTATAAGGCCCAATTTGTAAAGAATCATAGAACTCTAACTCAGTGCTATGAAGTAGGACTCTTGAACCAGAAAAGCTTATCTGTTACCATTTTGAAGACTAAATTGTGATTTTTTGAATGCTTAACTGACCATTTAAAATGCATTTTAAATCAGATTTTTTTTTTAAATCATTTTTATCAGATCTACTATTGAGGAAAAGTAAATGTCTCCACTGTTTGTTCTTAATGCAGCACTTGTGATTCAGATATAAACATACAGTTCTGCAGTAAATGTAAACTCTAAAAGTTAGGTGTGATCTTAAAAGCTCTATGGATCCTATTAAGCATTTAATTCTGCCCTAAACTATGCAGAAACCTCAAGCAATAACTTGAATTGTGTATTTCAGTAGACTGCAGTTTCTAAAAGCATCTAACTCCCTGTTGCGATTCCATCCAGCTAAGGACAGAAAAACTTTGAAAAAGCTCTTCACTGCATATGATGGAATCTATTTGCCTCATAATTGTAGTGCTGGTTCCATAAAGAGACCCCCAGCAGTTGCTAATTGCATCCAGAAAACTCATTACATTATACCAATTGGATTTTTAATTAGAAATGCAGATGGCAACTCATCTATTACATGGTAAGATCCAACTGGGAGAGAAATCTCAATTCCATTTTGGATTCATTCACCTTTTGGATGCTGGAAAAGAATAAAGAATGAGAATGTTGAAACTGTGACTGATGTTCTGTCTTCCAATGAAGGTTCATTTTGTACCAAGGCTGAAGGTCACAAAAAGTAAAAAGGAGAAGCATCTACGAAGGCAGCTTCAGAAAAATGAAGATCTTCCCAGTGAGCTGGAAAGTCACTGGGAAAAAAAACTAGCCAGAATGATTTTGCAGTTACGGATAAACACCTCTCCCTTCTTCTGAGTGAGGAGAAAGTAAGTAGAGATGCTCACCTCCAATTAAGATTCACTTGAGTCTATAATTCCTTTTCTTATTGTACAGGAAAGACCATAAATATCTGCCTCATGCTGACAGTAACACATAGGCTGTGAAGGAGCATTGCTGCATGCCAAAGTGCTTGGTGGCAGCTTGGATGTATCAAGCAGCAGTATCCTGATGACACAGTGGGCAAGGTCATAGCCTGCATCTGCAGGTACTTGTGATGAAAACCACGACTGTCACTTTTCCATGTTTGCCTTGTCCTTCTGGATTGTAAGATCTTTAGGAAAGCATCAAACAATTGTTGCAGTTTCTGCAGCCTGATTAGTGATATTCTTGACTCAGCACAGACAGGAAGCTCAGCATTGCCCAGTTCCTTTCTCTGAACGTGTAAAAGGTGCGTGGGAGCCTACATGCCATGTTTCTGCACATCTTTTGTTCAGATGAAGCTTTTAAATTTGTCCTTTCTATTGAGGAACAATGTACTCTGTCTCTTCCATTCACATGCCATCAGGAAGAAGTAGAAGTGTTTCTCTTTTGCTACAGTGAAGACACTTGAAAATAAAAAACCATTAGCCAGTGTCAACCTAAAGAGGTGAATGCTGTCAACGTATTGGTTACTGTTTCCTCTATAGGCACCTTTTTGTGTGTGTGAATCTTTCAAGTGGATGCAATAACCTGTCCTCCTGACTGCAGATTCTGTGAACAGTTATTGTCTCAGGTCATGAAAGAGTAGGACAACAACAAGGACTCAGATAGATTCTCTTTTTTTTTTTTTTTTATAGTCTTCTGTTGCCTGTCATAAAAGTGCAACACTGCCCCTTTCCTTTCTTTTTTTCCTTTTTTGTAGTAATTCCGCAGTGCCTACTGAGAGCCTAGAGGTGAAAACTTTTAGAACATTTTATTACAATTTTAATTCCTGAAATATTAAGATTACTGTTTTGCTTTTAGAAATACTTTTAATCCTTTATAAGCAAACATCAGAAATTGACATGCGTTGTTCTGGACAAGTGAATGATTTCTGAGTGGCTTTCTGTGATGTCAGGAAGTTAAACCAAGGCACCAACTAAAAAAAAAAACAGTCCTTCTATTTTCCCAAAGATAGCACTTCCTTGTCCTTCTCATTCAGCAGGAGCAGCCTCACAGCTGACACTAGGCTGCATCCTTTCATTCATTGTCACTTATGCTATTTCATTCCAGGTAAAGATGAAAATGATATATATGGTTTAGCTTACCTGATGCATTCCATCTTAACATCCTGACTTCAGTTGCTCTAGCAGGAACAAATTTAAACTATTCAGGCTGGTTTTTTTATGTTATATTCTTCCTGTCTTCTTTCTCTGGTCAAAGAACACCTGCTTGATGTAAGGTTTCACTCCAGTGCAGGTACCTGAAGTTTGCCAAAAGCAGCCCTAGTGTTAGGAATCAGTTTTGCTGTTAAACAAAGCTGCATTATGAACTTTTGCAATTAAGTCAGTTGGCATGGGCATAACAGCCGTGCTAAACTTGGACAGATGTATCCACCGTGTTCTTTGTCAGTTGATCACAAAGGCTCTTTCATAGAGTCATAATGCTTGGAAAAGACAACTGAGATCATCTATTCCAACTGTTAATTCCTCAGTAACCGGAGATGGTATTGGGGAGGAAAGGTTGCCATTCAGACCGGTTTCCAGAGGGCAAGAACCGAATATAAAAGAATAGTGGGAAGATGGGAATAGTTGCCAGAGACATTATTTTATTCACTATAACTTCTGCAGGACTCGGTGCAGAGGGAGGATGTTGTATGGCTGGCTGAGCGGGGAGGTGTAGTAAAGAGGATGTTTTCTGCAGAGTTCTTGCTCCTCTTTGCAGAACCTGGCAGGCTGTAAGGTATGGAAAGTGGAATGCTGCCTTGGAGAGATGAGTTTTGTACAATTTTTGTACAAAACTGTAACACCTTGCTTAATTGTTTTAAGAAATTTGCTTTAGAACGCTGATAAACTCCAAATCACATTCTTCTTACATTTCTAATGACTTGGCATTTTTTTTCCATTTAAAAAAAAAAAAAAAAAAAAAAAATTGACCTTGTTTCATGGCAGTGGTTATAAGCCTCTGTAATGTGAAATAATCAAAGTAGAAACTATGCAGCTTGGGTCTGGAGGCTGCAGTAGCAAGCTGACAAGAAAGACAAGGAGTAGGGATAAATGAGCATTTTACAAAACTGTCTTGCCTACTGTCTTGATTTCCCAAAATGTTACTAGTACAAAACATGCCATTTCTCTACATGCTACTTTGGATAAGCATGTCATTGTCACAGATATCATCCTGCACTGGAGAAGCCTATCCATCAGGCAGTATCTCTCTTTTTCTCTGAAAGTCTTTGACAGTAAAAGGAGTAAAATTAAGAATAGAAATCACAAATGAGTATGTATTTGTAAGTGTTAGCGTGGTGCTTTGGGATTGCTTACTGGGACAATTTTGGAGCTGTAGCCAGCTGTGATATAGTTTAAAAGCTCACTGATGAGGCATGAATTGATTTACTGACAATAATGGGAAATGGGTTTAGTCCTGTTGCTACTGTACTATTTCAACCACAAATATCAGAACAAAGTGAATGGGAACCCTTTTGGGATATTGAAGGCAGATAACTACAGGTAGGCAATTATATATGGTCTTCTTCTCTACAGGCTTCAACACTGGAACACTGGATTATTTTTAGCTTTGGAGGAAAGGATCACCATGGAAACATAATGAAGCATGAGAGTGATCAGACTGATTGACAGTGTTATAGTAAAGGAAGATTGACATGAAAGTCAGAGATAAAATTCATGCTGTTCTAAGGCATAGTTCCCATAGTAGTTGAATCATCAGGTCTCGTTTTCCAGACACTGATACCACATGAGATTTCTTTGTCCTTACACGGGAGGAACATACTGTACAGGTCACTTTTTTTCTATGACACATTGTCAGTTAGCAGGTTGGTAACAACACTGAAAGGCTCCCTATTGATGCAACAAAAGTTTAACTCCTGGAAGTAAAGATTTAAGTGCTACCTTGCTATAAAGCCGTAGGTTAATTTGGTCTTATCTCTAGTAAAGTCATGAAGATTTGCCACATTTCTTTATGCAAAAACTTGAGGTACTTGTGATCTTGAAATTCTTTACAAATTCATTCTGATTTTATCAAATTTTTCTAGTATATGGGAAGGACAAGAATGGAGGAAAAAAAAAGCTGGAAGAACAGTTATTTTGTTTTGCAATGCTGAATGATTTTATTCTTACTTAGAGAATACTCATAGGATTGAAAAAAAAAAAAAATATCTGAATCATAGTGAATAAAATACTTAATTGCACATGAGAAGATATTTTCATCTTCTTTGTTCTCATTAAGACAAATACAACCATCCATGACTGTTTTAAATTCAGATGGATTTGACTACCATGAACTGGCAATAAAAAAAAATTGCTTAATTCTACTTGAATTCATCATTTCAAGTGCAAGTCATCATTTTCTATCCTAGATATAAACTGAAATTTAAAATCTTCTGTAGGAGCATTCTTCTAATCTCACGTGCTAGTTGTAACATCAGAAGATTACTTAATTTCCGGGAATAACTAACCAAAGAACTAATGCCATTAATGCCATAATGTCTGTGATCTGCAGTCTTTCAAAGAGGGTTTTTGCTTGCTTGATCTGTTCTTCCTGCTCAGCCCAGCTCATTTCATCCCATGGTTCCCTCTAGCTCATGCCTTTCTTTTCCATGGACAATTTCCTCATTCACTGGCACTTTAAAAAGTCTATTAAGCATATTTTTCCTTACTCTGCAGTGTTTCCTTGTTTGTTTATTTGTTGACCTATTTTTATTCAGTCTATTCTTTATTCTGGAGGATATTTCTGCCCTAAGACCCAAAGTTTCTTGATTCACTCTAAGTCTTTAAATTGTCCAGGAGCCACAGTTGGTATAGTCAGAAACAGAGTTCAGGAACTCCATTTTCACTCCTTACTTTGTGATTTAAGTCCAAAGCATTTGATCTAGAGTGGTCACAGGACAGCAGCGTAATCATTTTTAAGATGGTTCAAGTGTGACAGCGAGGCAGATGTTAAAATAATCTCTGACCACAGTGACCCTTCTTGGCTGTTTCTCTTTTCCACTTCAACTGCAAACAAATATTTAGCTCCAATTACCTCATTGAAAAGCCCATAGGGAGCCAAGCCTGATATTATATCATGTGCAGACATTTCATGGCTTACTGCAGTGGTATGGAGACCTACGAGATAGCATGCGCTCTTTCCAGTTTTGTGTCATGCTTGGTGCAGTCTGTCGCTGGATGACTAACAGTGGATTGTCCACTTGTAGGGGAAAAGCCCCTTGCTGTTCTGTGTCTGATCTACGCCCATTCTGCCAGGAGTGCACCCTATGGATTTTGCAACATGGGCCTATGGGAGCACAAGCAGTTTTTCTCTTCGATTAGCAATTGCCATACAATGAAAGAACCTGGAGTGGGAATCATGGGGTAAGTAATCTCCATGGGTGCAATGGCAGGAGGAACTGCAGGTCTTTCACAAGACCCTCTCAAGACAACAGGAAAAAGAGAGAAGAAAGAAAAGAAAAATAAGAGGGGAAATAGAACAAGAGGAAAATAATTGTACAGTCAAAAAGCACTCAATGGGAAATATCTAACTGCAAAAGCGTGGGGAGAAGATTGATCTTAACCTGTAGCGACTACACTGGTAACTAATAATGTGAGCTGCCAGCCACTGCTGTAACACTTGTGGAGCAGTTTTGTGTGGAAAATCTCACAGCCCATAGGTCTCATTTCTTCTCCAGACTTTCTACAAGTAAACCTTTTAGGGATAGATTTTAAGTGCACTTAGACACATACCAGCCAAGATACTTAAAACACTGAAAGATCTGTGCTTTAGAAACAGACCTGAAACCTTTCTAGCAGCTGAAGACTTTCAGCATCACCGAATTACTGAGTTGCCATTGAAATTAGTGGCTTTTATCTTTAAAATAGGAAAATAATAGTTTAATCACACAATTGCTAGGGTAGGTAGCTAGAGATCCTCTTTTGTATAGAAGCAGGCACATTCAATTACCTGTCTGTTCTGTCAATACTGACTGTCCTGCCAAGAACTTCTAGTTTTTCCTTTGTCCTCCCAAGGACTGGTGCCTATGTTGCTGGGGCAGAGGATGCCAGGTGCCCTCTCCTTCACCCCCATCAATTCCCAGAGTCCAGGTATGCAGCACAGCAGCAATCAAGCCACAGTGTGTACCTGAGGGTATATAATGTGGTGACATTGCAGTGTTCCAGGTCATTTATATCTACCAGGTATAGGAGTATCCAGTACAACATTTGGAGCCTTGAAATTAGCTTTTCTTGTTCCCATTACCTGGCTTTACTTGTACTGATGGACAGATTACAAGCAGTTTTATGGACTGATGATTATTGGGTAACTCTGGTTAAGCTGATTCAAGAGGGCTCTCCAGAGATATTTTCCAGATGTGTCTTCTGGGCACAAGATTTCTTTGCACTATCACTGTGGATTGGGGTAAAATGTCACGAAGAGATTTCTTGTTACAACCATGGCCTGGGATCTTCTCTTATTTTCAATAGCAGTGCTGCAGCCTTCTGAACTGAAGTGTCACCTAAGAAGCCTCCAGCTGACATTTATGAAAAAATGGGCTTTAGAGTTTTATGGGAGAAGTTCCCATCAGATGAATACGATTAGTGCAAAGTTTGTTTGGAGTCTTAGTAATTTATGTAGACAAATCTAGGTCTTTAAGCATGTTGCCTGCTGCCAAAATGGAAGAATAAATGTGCATTAAAGCAGCTAACAGTCATTGATTACCCAAATCCACAGTTCTTCCTCAGGGAATATTTTCAGCCTGTAAACAGAAAATCTACTGTAAACGCCACACTGACATTAGCTCAGTACTGCACAGAACCTTTGGATAGAGTGCTGCAGAAATTAAATGGCTATTATATTATGAATTAATTATATATCCTTGGAGTTCTTTATGATCGTGATGGGTAATAGTAATTACACAACTGCGCACTGGGTTTAGGTGTATAATGCTAAGTAATTATTCTATTTTCTTTGTGTGTCTGCCTCCAAATCCTAATCTTTTTAATGGAAATAGCTGGTAACATCTCTGATGGATGGTCTTTCACATTTAATAGAAATGTGAAATAAAGAGAAAGAGCACTGGCACTAAGAGCTGGCTGAGAAAACAAGTAGAATGTAGAAGCCAGCAATATCACAGGGGCAATATTCTTAACTGAGAATGTGTGACACAAGGTTAGGCATAAAAAGTTTTGCCTCATTATCTGAGTACTTAATTAGGTGACAGTGAATAAAAAGAATGTAGATTGTCATTCCATGAATCAGAAATCAGCAGTGGGAATGGCTGCTGATTGTCAGGGAGTTTCATCACTCATTAATGTACCTGGATATACATAACAGAAGAATATTAACAAAAGAAACTTCACAGCTGAAAAGTTGGATGAAACACCCAAATACATCATGCAAAGAACAGCAATCACCTTTTCTTGATTCAATGACTTTTGCTTGATTCTTTCCTTTAAGCTGATGTAGCAGGACAAATTATTTCTTGATCCTGTATCTGAATTGACAAGGCTGTAGCTTCACACAATTTGCCCTGGGAGACCGGGAAGAATTGCAAAAATTGTCTTCTCTTCATTCCCACATTGCTGGTAAGGAACTAAGGCTGAAAGTCCAGCAATCTATCACACCCTCCGAATAGTCTTGGAAGGGCATTACAGATATTCTCCACAACAGATTGATTATTAATTTAAACTGACTATTGCCACCAAAAGGTGACAGGGTAACCTAATAGGTCATCCCGCTCTTTGAACTGTTTTTGTGACCTGATGGTCACCCAATTTAGTCAGATGGTCACCATCTAAGGAGATGCAGAAAAAGGCATTTTTTGGTCCGATTCTTATCCCTTCTACAGTAGGAGAGAAATTCCTGTTCAGGGGGTGCAGCAAGTGTACCAAACCACAACTCCTGGTTGTTCCCCCAGAATCTTGCAGTTTTGATACGGTTTTTATTTCACCATTTCGTTCATCCTGTTGCATTGCTGTGCAGAGCTTCCAGCCATTCCACCTTCTTGGAATGGCTGGTACTGTTGGGAGTAATCTGCTTGGCGTTCAACCTTCTAGAGTTTTGACCCTTTGATCTTGAATCTCTGCTCCCCTCCATTTTTCATCCACTGTTCATTCTTAGAACGTTTTCTCCCTACCCTCTTTTTCTCTCACACCTCCATTCTGAAGAATAGCTTAGATTTTGCTAGGGACAGACCAACGCTTATCCTTTATTAGGAAAAACTAGAAGCACAGTCCACAAGCAAGATTCTAAGATTAAAAGCAGCGCAAAAATGTATACTTTCCCACTAATATTCTCCCTATGGGCAAAAAAACCCAGCTTGGGTGACTTGCCTTACTTTTGTAGTCAAAAACACCCAGCTGTTCTATCATTGAAATATTTGCCAAGTTTTCAATAGCATGTATACAGAGTTCTTGCATCCACAACACCACTTATCAGGGAGTTCCACAGACCTACTTCTACTTGTGTGAATAATCAGGTCCTATTTTTTTTTCTGATCCTGGCTCTCATAAGCTGTACTTTCAAACCCTACTTCTGGCATGTAAAGAGACACTGAACAATTAAAGAACAACCAACTTTTCCTTGTGATGATTTTGTATACTTTAAATATAATTTCCCTGTAATGTCATTCCTTCATGGCAAACCTTCAGCTATCTCAATTGTTCTGTTTACAGGAGTTTTCCATATATTTCATTATTCTTGTTGCCCTCTTGCCCTTTCCTTATATGAATTATTTGGTCTTGAATGCTTGACTTTTTTATTATTTTTTTTAAATTCCATACAGCACTTAAAGAATGTTTTCACTGAACTGTTTATCATAACAACAAAATCCATGCTTATGTAAAGCAGTTGTTAGTTTAGAGCCTTTGTACAAAGTTAGAATTATTTCCTTCCCCACATGAATCACATTACATTATATGCATTGCATGTTGAGTTTCATTTGGCATTTTGTTGCCCAGTTTCACTGGGTTTTGCAGTCTTGATGCAATTCACCAGGCTTTGTGTATTGATACTAACCTAAATAACTGCAACATCAGCAACCTTTGTCACTGTGTTCACTGCCTTTCCAAATCATCTATGAACAAGCTGAACAGCAGAAATTCCAGCACTGGTGGCTCCCCTCTATCACAAGACTGGCCATGTTTTGCTCCCTTCCATCTTCTATGTTTAAACAAGTTGTTTATCCATTCAATGATCTTCCCTTTTATTCCAGTGGCAACAAAGTAGAGTGATGGAATAGTGAAGTTAAAAAAATAAAAATAAAAAAAAATATATAAATAAATAATAAAAAAAAAAAAATTGAGGAAAACAGGATGAGGAAAAATTAGAAAGAAGAGTCAGGAAAGAAGGAGGCTGTTTAAACTGCCTGTTTGTCTTATTTCACTTGAACGCATAAAACAAGAAACCTTCCTTTGTCTAAATTGCTTGTATCCAATTCGGTTCAACTGGGAATAAAATGTTACTGTTTTGAAGATGTGGAAAGAAATTGAGTATAAGAGAGAACAAATTATTTTCTATGAAGACTGCCTTCATCAGTTTCTTACTGATAGACAAGGTAGAAAACTATAGAGAATGAACAAGTAGACAAAAAAAAATTCTATATATGAAAGAAGCAAGTACTTCTCAAGAGGTTCTTACGATATTGAAATCTCTTCTCCCAAGAGACAAGAAGGATCTTTCATTCCTCAGACTGGCACTGACTGAGTGAGCAGCCAATAAACAATGAAATGGGGAAAGATACACTTGTCAGCTTCCCAAAAGCTGACATCAAGGACAGTATTTCTGAATCATAGTCCACATAGCCTGAAATTCAAGCAGCAATTAAAGTTGTTAAACATATAGTAGAAGAACTAGCAGACCTTAAGCAGAATATTGTACTGCTGAAATGAATAGGATGCTGTGGATGGTTTTTCCTCTAGGGCTGTAGAAAAGCTCTTCTTGACTTCCACTCACTGCTGTAGTGATAAATGTGAATGAGCTTGAGAATGTCAGATTATAGAAACTGGGTATAACAAATTCAATTCAAGTAACAGTGGGGCAAAATAAATTTACTATTAAAGTCTTAAAGCTGTCCAAAGATGATAGTTGGGACTGCAGTTCCTATAGGATGCTGGGTTAGATCCTTCAACAGCAGTGAAATGATTCACTCTGACTGACAGGTTGTGTCTATATAATCAGGACTATAGTGATCCTATGTCCAGATTTTCACAATTATCTCAGTATAATCATCCTTTCTTTTCTGAGTGAAATGTAGGCTACTTGCTTTACTTGTCAGTGGGGTAAGGAGCTGTGTTTTCTGTTACAGGGAACTCAGACTTATACTGCAAGTCAAAGAAAATGGATGCACAACTGAGCTTAGGAAAATAAATCCATATTCAATTGACTCATCATAAACCTAGGCTATAGTGACTTACATTCAAAATTAGTGTGCTTGCAGACTTACCAGTCCAATCTGTCAGCAATAGAAACACACCAGTTATTTCCAGTAAGCATTTCTGAATTATTGTCATCTGTGATATACTCAATATGGAGAGAATAAAGTAAATAACTACTACTCAGAATCTCCCTAGATTGAAGGCAAAGAAATCCAACCCATACAAAGTTAATAAAAACTGTACAGAGGAAGTTGGACTCGTGGATATATTCGTACAGAGCAACTACATACTAAAACAAATGTTTACGTCAATAACGTCTTCTGTGGTTGTCTACAATTGTAACATGCCAGAAGTTTTATATCACTAATGATTTATATATTTAATATATTTTATGACTGCCGAAGGGTTTTGAGCTTCTGTGCAGAACAAATGAAGTAATTGTTGTGTATGCCTTGAGGAGGAGCAAGCAGTTTCTCATAAAGCATTCATACACCATTAGGATAAACAAGAGTAAAAGAAGAGATCACGGTAAGTTTCCACCCATAAGGTCACTGGGGACATTTACACCTGAATCCCAAACCTGACTCCTAAAATCATCAAGAGTGATGACATCAAAAAAACAGAATTCGGAAGGCAACACGGCTTCTTAGGATGGAATGGCCCCATCCTGGTGGATGAGATTCCAGATAAGGCTCACGTTTCAAATCAAGGTTAGCTCAGGGGATAAGCAAACATGGCTCTGAACAGTGAATGGAACAGATCATCCTGGATAACATGATCACATGAGAAATAGGCGTGTGATCTGAGCCAGCCAGCCTGGCTTCAGCAGGGGAAGGTCATGCTTGATCAATCTGGTGGCCTTCTATGATGGAGTGACGACATCGGTGGACAAGGGAAAGATGACCAATGTCACTTACCTGGATTTGAGCAAGGCCTTTGACATGGTCCCCCACCACATCCTTATCTCCAAATTGGAGGGATGTGGATTTGACAGGTGGACCACTCGTTGGATAAGAAACTGGTTGAAAGGCCGCAGACAGAGGGTGGTGGTCAATGGCTCTGTGTCCAGGTGGAGGCCGGTAACAAGCGGCGTCCCCCAGGGGTCTGTCTTGGGACCGGTGCTCTTTAACATCTTTACCAATGACATCAGTGTGGGAATTGAGTGCACCCTCACCAAGTTTGCTGACGACACCAAGCTGAGTGATGCAGTTGATACGGTTGAAGCAAGGGATGCCATTCAGAGGGACCTTGGGAGGCTAGAAAGGTGGGCCTGGGTGAACCTGATGAGGTTCAACATGACAAAGTGCAGAGTTTTGCACTTGAGCAGGTGGAATCCCAGGATTCCATACAGACTGGAAGGAGCAGTCCTTGAGAGCAGCCCTGTGGAGAGGGACCTGGGGGTCTTGGTAGATGAAAAACTTAACATGAGCCAGCAGTGTGCCCTTGAGGCTCGGAAGGCCAATGGTATCCTGGGCTCCATCAAAAGAGGGGTGACCAGCAGGGACAGGGAGGTGATTGTCCTCCTTTACTCTGCTCTTGGGAGGCCCCATCTGCAGTACTGTGTCCAGGTCTGGAGCCCCCGTACAAGAAAGACAGGGAGCTGTTGGAGAGGGTCCAGAGGAGAGCCACAAAGATGATCAGGGGACCGGAACACCTCCTCTATCAAAACAGGCTGAGGGAGCTGGGCTTGTTCAGCCTGGAGAAAAGAAGGCTGCAGGGTGACCTCATTGCAGCATTTCAATACCTACAGGGAGCCTACAGAGGGGAGGGGAATCAACTCTTTGAAAGGGTAGATAACAGCAGGACAAGGGGAAAAGGTTTTAAGTTGAAGGAGGGGAGATTTAGGTTGGATGTCAGGGGGAAATTCTTTACAGAGAGAGTGGTGAGGTGCTGGAACAGGCTGCCCAGAGAGGTTGTGGATGCCCCGTCCCTGGAGGTGTTCAAGGCCAGGTTGGATGGGGCCCTGGGCAGCCTGGTCTAGCATTAAATGGGGAGGTTGGTGGCCCTGCATGTGGCAGAGGGGGTTGGAGATTCATGATCCTTGAGGATCCAGGCCATTCTGTGATTCTGTGAATGCATACATGTGATTACAGACTAAATCTTTAAATACTAGATGAAAGATGTTAACTAAATAATACAAATATTTAATGTATTTAAATTGTGTGGCTTTTCTGTATAGGTGAACTTAGTTTCCAGTTTCCATCTAAAGTCTGGTCTAATCTAGCTAATACCATTTTTTTCTAGCTAGAACTACTTATCTCTATTTTAATTGTGAGCTTTTCTAGTGTTGAAAGCAAGAAGGTCTCCCTGAGGGCAGTGGACTCAAAGA